TTAAAGAGCTTCACGAGTCAACGGGCGGCGGTCGACAAGTTCGTCACCGCCCGCAAGTGACTCTTTTCGATGAGAACGGTGACGTAGACTATCATGTGGAAGGTCTAGTATGACAACGTCGTCACCAGGGTCAGACCCAATGTCTTGTGAAGTGGCGGGGATATCCCGAGTCTGAAAACTCGTGGGAGTTTGAGGCGCCACTTCGGCAAGATTGCCTAATCGCCGTGGATGTTTTTGATCGAAAAGATCAGAATGTCCTGCGTCATCAGATGCCCCGCGCTTCCCGGCAATAGCCAGGGATCTAAAAGGGCCATCAGCTGAGCTCAAGCTGTGGCCCTGAGCTCTTGCGGTCGAAGCTACGGAGCTCGCGGGACCATTAGGGGTCCCACACCGGTCAAAAGGGATTCGTGAAGGGCCGCTCGATTCAACACCACGTGCAATTTCTCGCGGATCTGCACGAATTGTTGACAAGTCGAGACGAATAAGTTTATGCCCTGTTCTTGGACTTTGAAAAAGCATTCGATCGAGTGAACCGGGGCTATATGCGCCGTGTGCTCGAACGAATCCGGTGTGGTTCAGAACTTACACAGTGGGTGAAATTGTTGTACACCGAACCTCAAGCCCACCTTGTCATCAATTATAACATCCAGCCAGCATTGTATCCGACAAGAGGAGTAAAACAAGGCGATCCTCTTTCTGTGCTTCTCTTCCTGCTCACTATTGAGCCTCTCGGAAACCATTTGCGATCCCATCAAGAGTTTGGAGTGTGCCTCAACGATGGTCACACGTCCACCGGTGTCTTTTTCGCAGACGACACGACTCCCCTGGGGGGCTCCATAGCGAGTATAAAAGCTCAGCTTGAGCTCGTGGAAGATACTCTGTATGGAGTCTGGTGCAAAACTCAATCATGCCAAGTCCAATTTGATGGCGCTGAACCGAAACGCGACTTGTCCTCAGCTCCCTGGTGTGCACGTGCTTGATCGAGCCGAGTCGGTCAAGTTTCTTGGTATTCCTTTCACTCAGTCCACAGTCAACAATCACATTGTCAACTTTCTTGAGCAACGCTTCTACGACGGCTTCAAGATGTGGTACCGACG